TTTTTTCTTTTCATACACAAGTACGTATAGTTTGTATTTAAAACATGCATGTGATAGGATCTAGTTAAATTATACATTATTATATAACGTAAAGATTTCCTCATCTCGTAGATTATGTAACAATTTTCAAGCACAGATCTCTTCTTGAACTGGAAGGTCGAATTCAGATATAAACCTGATTTATCATTTATTTCCATGCCAGGAATTATTGAAAGAATGCTAGGCTAGCCACTTAATCTAATAATGATGGCTAGACTGACAAAAAAAATTAAAATATTGAATTGCAGATCAAAATAAAATTTTAGTTTGCAATACCTAAAGTATTTGTATGAGATGAAACCAGAAGGACAAGGTGCCTTACTGCTGACATGCATACATGAATTTTGAACCTGAATGATTACTAATGAGATGTGTGTACTCAACAGGTCTTGGTCAATAGGGCCTAACCTAATTACGGCTAGACTGGCAGGCTAGTCGTACTTGAGTAGAAAAAAAACTAAAAACGGTAACTTTGAGTAACTGGCGACTGACCAGTTTTCTTGCAGGCGCCGCTCTCTCGCTGCTCCCTCCAGGCGTTCAGCTGTGGTCTCAGTTTGGACGCCAGATAAACACCCAGCAAAACCAAGGCCACCACAAACCAGCCATACGTCTGGATGGTAGACACCACTGAAGAGGAAAAATGACCTGATTTCAATAAAACACAAAAATACAATACACATCTCACTAAAAATACCAAAAACTGTGCAATCCAAAGTCCAAACTATCCAATAATACACTTATATATATATATTAAGTGACACTACCTTCTGACCCTAGTTTTAGGCAAGTCCCAGTCCCTTCACAAAAAGATCTAGATCTAAATCTAAAGTTTGTATTCAAAGGCCGATCTATATCACACGTGTATGTTCCAAATCAACAACTCTGCCTACAGAAGCAGGATCGGTTCCTATCTGGTGTCAGAAACGGATCAAACCATAATAATGACATATTTCACATGGAATTGATGGAAGAAAAGCAAACACCCTGTGCCATCATTTATTTATCACTTGAAATTGCGGCTTTGCAAGGGAGAAAAAAGACAAAAAGAGGGATAACATGCGATATAGTTTAGCAGACAAGAATTAATTTTTTTGCTCTTGTCAAAGAGAGAAGCCAGTGTCTAGCCACGCGTGGCCAGTGGACAGAGAGATGGCTCTGCAATTAATCATAAAATGACGTGTGTTGTTAACAAATCACTCAGTCTTGTAACATCCTAGATCTAGATCTAGATTCTAGTAAATCCCCACACCTCAAGGCAAGTTCAGCTCAATAATGCAACACATCGCAGGAGATCAGAACTGTCAGATGCGAGGCTTTTAACAAAAATCAGCGAAATTCAACAACGGATTTAAGAATTAAAAAAGTTTTAGTAGAGGTTTTACGGCGCGCATAAGGCAAGGTCATATGAGCGCAAGAAGATTAGAGGTGTTACAAGAGAGTAACAACAAACACAAAAAAGAAAGAGGGGAGATAAAGACGATAGATCCAGATGT